ACTCTCTGACCCGGTGCTTCCACGGTTAGGAGTTTCTCCTTCAGGAATACGCCCACAAATCCACAGGCCCAGTGGATGGTGGCATTGTCGACACCAGCAAACACGGGAAACCACCCAGACAGGGGATGAGTTAAATAATTCATGCTCAGCTGCACAATGAAATCCATATTTCTCCTCTCAAATTTTGGATCGTCACCTCAAGCGATCCATGCCCAGAGACAATCCTTGTTTCCCCAAACCCACCAAACTGCGCCTCCCACTTCCTCCCCAGGGTGGAAGCCAGCCTCACCACCCACCCAGCTGCTCAGGCCATGCCCTACAGTCACCCCTGATTCCTCTCTCCCTCTTGAGCCCCACCGCTCGAGTCTAAGCCCCCATCTTCTGTCTCCTGAACTTTCCGACAGACTTCTAATCTTAGCATCCTGTTTCTACTCTTGCCCCACTACAGTGATTTCTCCAGAGAGCAGCCTGAGTAATCATTTTGAATGATTTAAAAATTAACCAAGGTCATACGTCCATACAGTGGAGCATTATTCAGCCCTAAAAAAGAAGGCGGTAACTGATCCATGCTACGACATGGATGCACCTTGCACACATGATGCTGAGCGAAAGAAGCCACACGCAGAAAGCCGCATATCGGATGATTCCATTTATAGGAAATATCTAGAATAAGTCAACCATGGAGACGGAGAGACTGGCAGCAGCAGATAGCAGTATGGTGGTTGCCAGGGGCTGGGGAAAAGGGGAACAGGAGGGAGCTGAGTGCTGAATGGGTGTGGGGATTTCTTTGGGGGTCACGAAAATGTTTTAGCACGAGGTAGAGGTGATGGTGTGGCACAACATCATGAATAGACCACCTGCCCCTGAATTATACACTTTAAAATGGTTAATTGTATGTTATATGAATTTCACCTCAATAAAAAAAGAGAAAACAAATTAAATCACGGCACATCCCCTGCCTGAACCCTTCCACTGGCTTCACACACAGTGAAAATAACATCCCAGCTCCTTACCCCGCATGGCCCCCCGTGATCCAGGCTCCACTCTGGGACATCGTACTTTCCTTTGCCCACCCTTCACCCCAAAACTCTGTGAGGGAGGTAATATCATCCCCATTTCAAGAGGTGACACCAAGTCCAGAGAGGGGACCTGGCTTGTGGGGGCCACATGGGAACGCAGGCAACTGAAGCCGGCCCTGCCTGACCCACAACGAGCTCATGACTGTCGTGGCCACGGCGGATGGAGCCTGCTCAGATCCACCCTCGGAATAGAGCACTCATGGCCCCAGCTGCTGAGCATGCTGGTGGCCGATTGCTCTCAGCTCGGTGGGTGGAAGAGCCTCCCTGAGGACGGCCCCCTCCACTGACAGGTCGGTGGGGCATAGAAAGGCCTGCCCCCTCACCTCAGCTCCAGAGCTGCCTGGGGGTCAGCTGACGCCCAGTTGTGCCTGCATCGTAACTCTGCTCCTTCCTCTGCCCAGGCCTCCTCCTTCCCTCCCTCACGGGGCTGGTTTCCAAGGGGGCCTCCTGCCTGCTAATCTCCACCTCAGAGTCTGCTTCCCCGGAACACCCTAAGATAGCTGCTTTGTCCTTGAGGGTGGGGCCGGAGGGCACAAATTTTTATCCCGGGGGCGGAGAGGCGCTCTGGTGACAGCGCGTGAATGACAGGTCAGACTTGTACCGTGGGAGATCCTACTGGAGGACGGAGAGAGGTGGGAGGCCAAGAGGCCAGTGAGGAGGCTGGGAGAGGGGCCGGAGCCTGAATTCACGCAGTGAGGACAGGGAGAAGGCCAATTCCAGCAGTGGCCACTGGGTGGAATAAACGGACCATAATTCAAGACTGGCCTGGGGACGGGTGGGGTGACTGGGGAGATTCCGGTGCCCTGGGCTGGCTTCCATCTGGAAGTCACTCGTCAGCTCCAGGCCAGCCTGATGGGGGCCAGCCCTGGCTCTTCCAGTCACTCGCCGTGTGGCCTGGACATGGTACCTTGGTGTCTCACTCTCCATTAGAGAAAACTGGGCTAATTCCAGGCCCTCCTCATGGGGTGGTGTGCATATGGTTCAGAATGCTTGGGCAAGGCCCTGGCATGGGGTGAGTGCGTCATCCTGTCTGCCCTGGGCTTCCCAAGTCCCTGCTGGGGGTCAGACACACCTGGCTGCAGCCCCGCGGGGAGGGGGGCGAGTCCCTTTGCCTCCGAGCCCCAGGGCAGCAGTGGGAGGACAGTGATCCTCAGTCCCTTTAAGTAACACTCGAAAAGCCTCTGGCTTGTCAACAAAGGCAGCTGCTGCCGAGTACCCCCGTGAAGCTCCGTGTACTTGGCCATCCCACGGCAGGCAGGCAGGCAGCTGAGCCTCTGCAGGGCCAAGCCCCGCCCATCCTTCGCGCTCCCAGCCCGCTCCTCCTCCAGTGTTCTCTCCCTAAATGTCATCGCCATCACCCAGCTGCCCGAGCAACGGAGAGGCTCAGTCCTCTCTCCCGTGTCCCCCGCCCCAGGCTGTCACCAAGCCCTGGTGCTCTCAGCCTCCCCGTGTCCATCCTTGTCATCCCCCTGCCTCCCTGCACGGCATCCGGCCGCCACCCCCCAAACCCACCGACTCTGGTTCCTCACTTGAGCCAGCTTGAGACCTTTGGGGGTGCATGCCATGAGCTCCCTGCTGACAGCCAAGCCCTTTACCCCGCTCAGTTGGAGCAAGGCCAGGCCTGGCTATTGTCTCCCCAGGGTGTAGCACAGGGCCTGGTATACACACGTGAATGTATGCGTATGCTGGCCGTGCTGGTAGAAATAACATTAATGAGAACGCGGATAGAGCACATGCTTACAGTACCCACTACCTGCCGGGCACCCGTCCTAAGCCCAGGGAATAACTCGTTTCATGCTCAAGACGGCAGTGAGTTCTAGCTCCTATTATTTCTCCAGTTCTACTGTTGAAGAAGCGATGTCACAGAGAGGTTAAGGAACTCGCCCAAGGTCACACAGCTGGTAGGCAGCAGAGCCAAGATATGAACAGGACTCAGCATCACAATCACGCAGCGCATTAGGAAAGCTCCCGGCCTTGGTGCTGTGCTTGCCCCAGACACCATCCTGCCCAATCCTCCAGACCCTCCGCCCAGCTGCGGGGCAGGCTTGAGGCTCCTCCCCAAGGTCATGCAGCTGTAAAGAGGACTATTCCATTACTTCTTCATTGATGAAGAAACTGGCATCCACTTTACAGTGACTCTGGCTAGGGGCTACTCTCCCGCTGTCAGCCTACTTCCGGGGACCCTGATGAATGCTCTGAACCCACATGACTGAGGACTAGCATGTGGAAATGGAAGTCACGGGGGCAGTCAGCCAGTCGGGTGGGTGCCGGGCCGCCTGCTCTCCATGCCCCTGGCCTTCTCGGATTCTGGTTTCGGGACCTTCAAACCTACCCAGAACAGAAGCTTTCAGACAGGCTGGCAGCCGCAGGGCGTGCCTCGGGCCTGCTCATGGGGTAGGGTGGGAGAGGCCTAGCCACCAGGACCCCAGGGGCCCTCCCTCCACCAGAGCCATTCTGCTTTGTCCCAGCTTCTGAGGGTGCCTTCAATTGGGGGGGGGGGCAAAAAAGGTTCTGCAGTCAAAACAGCTTTTTGAAAATCAGCGCCCTAAGGAATAAATGCCCTTGTCATGCAAAGTGGCCTTCTCAAGTCTACCCTGGTGACATTCGTGGGCTTGGATGCAGTGAATTCTGGGATAGAAGAGACTAGGAGAGTGAGGATCCCTGAGGCCCTCAGCCAAGTCCAATGTCAAGGCTTCCCTGAATGTTCGTGGCCCTAGGTTCCTACTCTGCACACCTGCCCTGGTTGGCTAGGGCCTGTGTGTCTCCCCTGGCACAACCCTCCCTCCAGGCCCTTGCCCACATGGTTTCTCCTACCTGGAATAAAAAGAGGGACTGCATATTGAGATCTCCTGCCTCTGACAAGCAACATGGGTGGTGCTGTCCCTATTCCCTGAAACCCTCAGGACAGACCTGAGAGGCATCATCCCCATGCAAGGGAGGAGAAAAGACAGGTAAAGGAAAGAGAAACAACTCGCCTGAGCATTCAAACCCAGACTGGTCTGACTCCAAAATATTTTTTCCACACCACCCTCACCTCCCACCTCCCACACCCCTGCCTCTCTCCCTCCTTCCCCTTCATCCAAATCCCACCCACAATCAGGGCTCTTCCAGGGCACCCTTCTCTCTCTCTCTCACCCTGACTCCCCTTCTGTAAATGCCATTTACTCTGCTCTGAACACATACTCCTGCTCCCATACCCCCCTTCACCTTGCTGACTCCTTCACACTCTTTGGGAATCTATTTGGGGGTCACCTCTCCTGGGAAGTCCTCCCTGGACTGGCTGGGTCAGGATCCTCCTCTGGGTCCCTCCTCGGAGTTTCCCCCATCACAGCCCTGAGGGTATCTTGTGGTCATTTGCTTTCTGGCATCCTAAGGACACCCTAACCTTTTGAGGGCACGGTCCAGATCCACTGTGCTCACCATTCTATCCTATGCCCAGCATGGTGCAAGGCACACAGACAGTGCTCAATCAACACCTGAGTGAGCGGACTTGTGAGTTCAACAGGTAGCCTCGTTGTCGGCAATGTGCCAGGCCCTCCTGGTGGGTGCCGGCCACAGGGCACAAGCGAGCGCCATCCCCGTCCTCCCAGCCCAGCCCTGCCTCCGACAGGAAGCCTCTTTCCACCTCCACAGTCTCTGTCCAATTCTAACTCCGTGTCTTCTTCGTTCACCCAAAAACTCCCTGAGCACCAGCTGAGCCAAGGGCATGCTAGGAGAGCATGTAGCAAAGCAGGACACAGGAGGTGAGGTGTCGTCTCTTGTCCCCCCGCCCTGGGCCAGCCCCGCGGCGTCCACCAGGCCCAGGAACACACAGCACCTGTTATGTGCCAGGCTGTTTGAAGCGCCGCGGGCTGCTCGCCGGCCGGCCTCCCCACGCCCACCTGGACCACGGCCCCACCCCCAGACCCGGCCCAGCCGTACCCGGTTGATGAGCTCGCCGACCATGCCTGTCCAGGAGCCGTTGGGCTCGGGCGCCCCGTACAGCCCGTCCTCCACCAGCCGCAGACGGTAACGGAAGCGCAGGAGCTCGGCCAGCTCTCGCAGCATGTCCACGCAGAAGCCCTCGAAACGCTCATTCCCAGACAGGGCCTGGAAGTTCGGCCGGCGCATGACGTACGGGTTCTCCTGGGAAGCAGCAGAGAAGCGAGGTCAGAGACTGGGCAGCTAGGGGCTGCTTGGGGAGCAGATCGGGAATCTGCCTCCACGTGGGACAGAGTCACTGCATCCGTTCCTTGCCTACAGATGCTCGGAGTGGGGGGTAGGCCTGGAAGCTGCCGGACGCAGTCTCAGGACGCCCCCCGCCCCCCACCGCCCGCCGCAGATGGCTGGAAGCTGTTTTCATCTCCGCCAGCCAACCTGATGCTCTGTTGTCTCAAACTCAAATGCCTACCAGGAGGCGAGTAACCTAAGAGTGAATCACACTGGTGGGAGATTATGCCAAACTGGAGTAGGGACTTTCAAATTTCTGACCATGATCCATAGTAAGATACATATTTTACTTTGCAACTCAAGTAATCCACACACATGCACTTAAATACTTTGTTCCTCAAAAGAGTCCTTACTCTTAGGGATTAAAGGCACCAGACCCTGATTATTTTCTGTCCTGCTCTACTTCACTTTTTTTTTTTTTAAAGATTTTATTTTTAAGTAATCTCTATACTCAACACGGGGCTCGAACTCACAATCCCGAGATCAAGAGTCACATGTTCTACGGACTGAGCCAGCCAGGCGCCCCTCTACTTCACTTTTCTACCCGACCAGTAGCACCCACTGAACTGACCTGATGAGCTAGCAAGGGATCACAGGGTCTGCCCCACCAGGATTGAGTGCCAGCCGACACCACTACAAGGGAAGCAGGCCTGAGAAGCCAGATGGCCCGACGTCGGGAATTCTGGAATCCTCGGCTGTTTTGCAAAATGTCCTGATTATAAAGGTTAACAACAATTCACATTCTAAGACGATCCTCGTAATGCTTTGCAGGCTAAACAAACACCTCAGACTCCGTACAGGTTTGCTACCCTAATGCTTATTTCTGAGGGGTTCCAGCAAACCTTACCAACCCCCAATGCACCAAATGAGCACAAAAGCAGGGAAAATGTGCCAAAGGGTTAGTAAGATGAGGCATTATGAATTTGATGTCAACAAAAGGGAATCTTAATCTTGACACAGTTATTATCTAAACGGGTGTTTGTATAGTGTCACTTCGGACTGAGGAACAAAGGAAGTCAGGACTTAGGACACAGTGGGGAGGGCTCTGGCAAGAATATCCACAATGGTGGCCGTGCACTGAGTACCTGCTGAGTGCCAGACCCCCACTCCGCCCCTCGAACAGATCCCTTTAACTCCCGGCAGGTGACCCTACACCAGAGGCATTATCAGACTCATTTTACACATGTGGAAGCTGAGGCTCACGGAGGTCAAGTGAGGTGATTTGTTCCCCAGTGACAGGTACGGTGAGGCCAAGTCTCAGTGCAGGCTGTGGATTCGTGGACCGCACCAAGCCCCACAGCTGAGGGGTGGTGGGATGGAGGGAAGTCAGCGAGTGCTTCTCTCTCTCCACCAAGCCGCCTTTCCAAGCCCCAAACTGTGGAACGGGGAGTAGGAATGTGAGATGATGCTAACAATAGCATCAGTAGCTAGCATTTCTCGTAGGCTTGCTGTGTGACAGCTATTCCGTCAGCGTGGGCGGTCGGTATTATTACCCCTGCTTCAGAGATGAGGACACCGAGGTCCCGAGAAGTGAAGCCATAAGTGGCTGAGATGGACAAGCTGGGTTGACTCCAAAGCTCTGCTCGGAGGCCCTGTGCTAGATGGACCTCAAGTGAACAGAATCCAAGAGCGGCGTGTGAGAAACCAGACAGACAGGGGACCCAGGCCGGGTACCAAAGCTGGAGAATCAAAAATCAAGACTTCTCTAGACAGGCACCAGCGTTAGAGCTGGAAGGTTCCCCCCGCAAGCTCTCTCGACATACCGAGCAGGAAACCGAAGCTCAGGGAGGTCAAGCATCTCGTCTGAGGCCACACAGTGGAAGCAGGGCAATGACGAGGGGAGATGGGACAAAGCTGGGACTCCAAACCCAGTTGCTGTGCACTGTGAAGCCCTTGGTCCTTCCACCAAGGCCCAGCTGATCTCCAAGTCCAAGGCTGAGGCACTTGGGTTGAGGGTTTGGGTTCAAGGCCTCAGCATTGGGGTCTGAGCTTATTGAGGCAGAAATAGGGACTGGGGCCCACGAACAGAATTCAAGATCAGAGAACAATGATGGCCCCAGACCACTGGAACCAAGGGTCTGACGGAGCCTCTCATCCAGGGTTTTCCGACTTGTTGAGAGAGTCTTCTGCGGAAGTACCGCAGACAGACAGTGGGCTGGTGCTAACTCTGATTCTAAGAATCCAACCCACAAATGGCTGTGCATCTGTACGCAAAATGTACGCCCAACGGAATCATGGCAGGATGGCTCCTAGCGGGAACAAAGACTGAAACTGCCTAATTTGGGACAGGTTAAAAAGATTATTGATGTCATCAAAGACTCCTAGGCAACTCCTAAAATAACAAGTTCTATCGGATATATTAAGAGGAAAAAGAAAAAAAAAACCCAAGCTACAGAACAATGTGTACAATATGCTACTCTTTGTGAAGGAAAAAGCGAGGATGTGCTTGTATATATGCATAGATGTTTCTGGAAGGATGTGGCCTCTGAGGAAAAAAAATGGGTGACTGAAGGGGAAGGAGTACTTTGGAATCTATTTTATGTAAGTTTGTGTTAACTTCTGTGTCTCCCCCAATGTGATGAATTTTTTTAATTAAAACTTTTAATATTAAATATTAAAATATTTAAAAATTTTTTGAAGCAGGGTATGTAAGTATATACAGAAACGTGAATGGTCAGGAAGAGCCAGAGCAATCCTAAAGAAGAAATTGGAGGATTGACCCTATGAAGTATTACTACTTAGTTTAAAGCTATGGTATTTGAGACAATGTGGTATTAGAGCAAAGACAGATCGATAATAGAACAGAGAGCTTGGGGGGTTGGGGGGTGCCTGGCTGGCTCAGTCAGAAGAGCATGTGACTCTTGATCGTGGGGTCATGAGTTCGAGTCCCACACTGGGCATAGAGATTACTTAAAAATAAAATTAAAAAAAAAAAAGTCCACGTGAAATAAATGTGTCCTGCCCCCCTACCTCACATGGTACATCAAAATCAATTCCAAGTGGATGGTAGATCTCACTGTAAAAGGTACGATTAAGTTTTTTGAAAACAAATAGAAGACTTCGTGACCTTGGGGTAGGCGAAAAATTCTTAAATTCTAAAAGCATTAATCAAAAAGGGGGAAAAAATCATGGATAAAATGGACTTTAGTAAAATTATAAATCTTTTCATCAAAAGATTGGGAGCGCAGAAGCAAGCCACAAAGCACAAGGTATTTGCAAGACATATATCCAGTGATGATTGTAACCAGAATATATTAATAACTCACAAATCGATAAAAAGCCCCTATGTCCCAATTTTTTTCAATAATAATAATAATAAAAACTCAAATAGAGGACTTTCTAAAAGAAGAGTGTCAAATGGCCAAAAAAACCAAAAAAGGTGGTTGACTTCCCTGTTAGGGAAATGCAAATGAGAAGCACAATGTGGGTTGGTCTGGGGGGTCATCCGGGTACCAAGCGGCTGGGAAGACCAGATGACACAAGCAGAGGGCCTGGCCCGGCACTGAGACGTCGGCCTCGGTGGGTGCTAGTTTATCCAGGATGCGAGCTCAGGAGAGCATGCCTTCTGTGCTGGGAGGCCAGGTGGCTTTCTTACCGCATGCCATACCCCCACAGCCCTTCAAGATGGGATTTTACAGATGAAGGTAAAGGCCAGCTGAAGTGGTAGGGGGCAAAGTCATGAAGAGAGCGAGGTCCGGCCAACCCCAGAGTCACCAAAGAGAAGGATGAGAAGTCCCAGCGTGACGAAGACAATCACGGGGACCGCGGAGTATTCTGGGAAACCTCTGCAGGAGGCAGCAGGGCTGGAGGCTGAGGAAAGGCCCCACACAGCCTCGCCTCTGTGGGCCTTCTTTTGCACCCTAGCTTCCTTGTGGGGCCTCTGTCAATCTTGGTCCCAGCCACCCTTTCGGCTCCAGACCAGTGAGCTCCACCCCAGAGATAGCCTCACCCTTCCCCCATCTCGGACCTCCCCCTGCGCCCTCACTCCCAGCCTCTCTGCCAGCCTCAACACCCACATCAGCTTCCCTTTCCTCTTCCTACAGCCCCTACATGCTCAGGCCTCGCCTCCCAACCTGGAGAACCTCTCCTCTCTGGAGCTTTTCTCACATCTAGGTCTGCCCCTGCCCCTTCCTGCTCAACACTCTCCAAAGGCTCAGGGAAAGGATAACTGCATCCTCCAGAGACCCTCCCCCCTCTGCAGCCCTGCAGCCGCTGGGCCACAGCACTTACCACCCTCTGTGCTTGCTAGGTGCCAGGCACTGTTCTAGGCCCCTCGGAGAGAGTAGGGAAGAAGGCAAAGCCTGACCGCCTTTTGTCCCAGGCACCCAGTTTGACTCACGCCAGAATCCCCAAATGCCCGACGCAAGCCCTGCCCACAAATCCAAGTCAGAAAACATCAGTGAACGAATGGGTATGTCCCACTGTGCAGACAAGGCCGCTCCCTCCATGTCCGGTCTGGCAAACGTCTCCTAAGGCCCCTGCTCTTAAAGCTCATGCTTCTTGGCATGTCCGGCCCTTCCTTCTCTGTGCATCCAACTCCTACACAGTCTCTAAAGCCCTGTCCAATGCCATCTCCTTTGTGAAGCCTTCCTCAAACCTTCTAAAGCTGAGTCAGTCCCTCATTACCCTGTATTGAATGACTGTGTCCAGGTTGATGTCCTCCATCAGACTGGCATCCCCTCCCCCAGTGCCACTCCAGAGTAAGGAAACCATAAGACCATCTGTGACTATTCACATGTATCCAGCATTTGGGTTAGGCCTGGTGCACAGCGGGTTCAGTAAATATTTGTGGAATGAATGAATGAATGAGTGAATGAATCCATCCATCCAAAGAGCAATGAATGTCAGAAAGAGAACCACACTGGCTCATGGGTCTTGGGGAAAAGGGAAGACAGGTGTGAGAAGGAGATGAAGCCTCCAGGGTCATGGCTCGTCTCTCCTGACATCCCCTCCCTGACCTCTGTCCCTGCTCCCCACCAGGGACCCCATCTCTTTTGGCCCCAGGAAGCTTCTTGGTCTGGCCACACTGCCACAGGCACGGAGGTGTGACTTCTCCCAGCCAGCCTGGCCTGGCCCTCGGGGCCCCTCGGGGAGGCTGTTATAAAGCGTCTGCCTGTCTTCAGGCCATCTGGCCCTCCCCAGCAGGCTCACTGGCCCTTCTCCAGAGGGACACGAGGTCCATGATAGGTGGGGAGCTCCTCGGGGACTGAGAGAACAGCCTCTGGCGTCCTGTGACACCTGTAGTAATCCCCTCTAACCTCAGCATCCACAGCTGTGAGCCAGCACGGCTCCCACACTCACTGGGGGGCTCCCACAGATAGCGGCTGCCAGCACACCAGGCATTTGGCTGTTCTACAGGACATGGCTGCCTGGCGCACCGGCCTCCGTGCCCAGCTACTCTGGGCAGACTCCTGCTCACCAGGTCCTGTGCGTCACCCCCGTCCTGACCTCCCGGCGACCCGTTGTGCCAGGTGGTAAGCGGCAGGGTGCAGGGGGAGAGGGCACAGGCTCTGAGCATGTCCCTCGGCTCCAGCCGGGATTCACCCTGTGACCTGTCTCCTCGCCTTGGAAATGAGGAAAATAAGACAAGCCTCGTGGAGTGGCTGACAGGTTTATAGAGCAGCGCCTGGAAAGGGCCCAGCACAGTGGCTGGTGCAGAATGGGGCGCTCCGTGCGTTTGCTGCCTCATGAAGGCCACCTGGTCTCGGACCTGCTTAACTGCAGGAGCAGCACACACAGGGGCTCCAGGATCACGTCCCTGGCTGGTGCTCAAGTTCAAGTACGAAGGGACTGTGGGTGCAAAGCACAGCGGCCACGGCTCAGGCTCTGGAGCCTCAGGGACATGACTCCTGCCTGGCTCTGCTGTGTCCTCGCCGTGGGACCCGGGGCAAGACGCCTCACCTCCCAGAGCCCTGCTTTCCACAACTTTAAGATGGACATGGAGTGGTCACGTGTCAACACCCTCAGGTGGCAAGTGTGGCCAAATGACTACTCTAGTGATGGTGATTTTCGGGATTCTACCCTGGACCAGACACCGTGGAAGGTGCCCTGCCTGTGTGGCCCCATGTTTGATGCCGTGCACGTGGTGGTGAGCGCCGTCCAGGAGCTGAACGGCCCTGCCCCCTCTCCGTGACACCAGTCATTGCCACATCTGCCGTGTGACAGCCGGTTGGCAGAGCCTGTGTCCTCCCTCTTCCAGTGGCAATGAGGCTGCTGACACCCTGGCCACAATCAGGAGTTGCTGGGTGCACGGGTTACATTCCCTGCTGGTCTGTGTGCTGCGTGAGCTGAGGCATCCCTCTCACCAGGACTGGGCTGGGGCACTGCTCAGGAAAGGCCTCTCCACCCACTGCCCGGCCCCCCTAAGCGCCACTCACCAGAATGGTCGTGACCACCAGCGTCTTGTTGGCCAGCGTCTGCGACAGGTTGATGTCCAGGGTGGTGGCATTCATGGCCAGGGTCCGGTTAGAGTACCATACCCCGATCTGGGGCAGAGAAGGGGCCATCAGCACGAGCCCGGCCTGAAGACGCCTCGGCCCGCCGGGCCTGCCCCCACCGTATCGGGACGCTGGACGTTCCCCTGGGCTACTCACCTCGCGGTGGCCCTGCCGGGACTTCTCCAGGATGCGCAGGGTGTAGTTGGTCCTCTGCCCTTTGCTGTTGAACTCGACCCGCCCAGTCAGCCCATCATACTCTACCTGGCAGGGTGGGAGGCGGGCAGAGGGGTGTGTGGCAGGGGGCCCAGAGGCACAGGTGGGAGAGGCCCAGAGGGGAGGAGACAGAGAAGGAAGAGACAAACAAGAGAGGGAGAGGGACCAGGGAGGACCACAGTTAAAAGAGAAAGAAGATGTGCCAGCAAAAGAAGGGAGGTGAGGTGAAGCAGCAGGGAGAGGGCCGCGCAGACAGGCAGAGGAAGGCCAGGAGGGGAGGGGCCGCGGAAAGGAGGAGGAAGGGGCCCAGAGAAAGCAAGAGGGGGTGGGGTTGGTAGCAGGGGTGGGGAGAGGGCAGAGGGGCCACAGGGTGGACACAGTGAGTGCCCTGGCCTGAGACGGACGGCCCTGCCCCCTCAGCCCGCCCCACTCCCAGCTCACCATGCGCAGGTAGTTCATCAGGCTGGTTCCGTGGGGCCAAATGTTGGCCGACGTACAGGCCAGCGGCTTCACGCCGATCTCTTGGCTACGGTTCAGCTCCCGGACGGCGCTCACCACCACGTGCACGGCATCAAACATCAGGGCCGCAGACAGCTGGGGGGTGGGGTGGGGGGAGCAGGACGGGGAAGAGGCAGCTTAGCCAGGGCACCCCGAAGCCCTCAGACAACGCCCGTCCCTCCAGGAACGTGGAATAAAGCCGGCGGGCAGTGAGGACGGGTCTCTGGGGGTCTTTCTCAGGGAAATCAGGTGGCAGTGGGAAAAATGTGCGTGCTGTCCATGCCTCTGTGGGAGCAGCTCTCCCCAAGTCATGCAGCCACATGCCTGTTTGGGGACGGGCACGTCAGAGAGGGTTTGCCTGGATGGCCAGCTGGGTCACCTCCACCCGGAGGTGTCTGCGGGCCTGAGGGTGTGTCCCAGAATCTGTGTCTGCGAGGCTGATGCAGGTGTGGGAAGAGGGCCTGCTGGCGGCGGAGGCAGGGCTTATGCATGCAGGCTGGACACACGCGCCTGTCTGTCTATACACGGGGTGGGTGTGGCATCTAGGGATTTAGGTGAGCGTCAGGGTTGTGAGCCTGGGCCCGGGCAGCAGGCAGCTCTGAGCTGGAGGCCTGGCTCTCCTATTTCCATCTTGGTTTCCTTCCCTGTAAAATGGGGATAATTGTACCCTCTGCCTCCACGTTCTAGTGTGGGGATCAGACAAACACACACACGAGCTCAAAACCGCCCGGTGCATGGTGAGTGATACACCTGGGGCGTCCGTGCACATGTGTTTTCGAGAGTGCGTCTCTGCTGCGTTGGTGTGAGGGTCGGAGGGGCTGTGTTGTGGAAACAGGTGCAGGGGTGCACATGAAAGCGCCTCTGCCCAGGTAGGTCTGTGACACCCGATGGCCCGGCTCCGTGACCGCGTGTGTGTCTGTTCAGGAAGAGTGCCTCCATGTCTTGGCATATGACTACATGTCTGGGAACAGATACGCGTAAGTACGCATCTTTGGTATGTCTGCATTTATTCAACATATATTACTGGACCCCTACCCTGAGCAAGGCTGATTCAGATGTTGGGGACACAATGGTGAACAAAGCAGAAAGAAACCCTTGCCCTCGTGGAACTTAGTCTATCTACCCGTATCTATGCCTAATCAAACTATAGAGCAACCGCCATGGTGATTAGATACGCAAGGACGGGTGCTATGGAGAAAAATTCAGTAGGGAAGGGTGTTAAAGAGTGGGGAGTTTGTCTTTTTTAAGATGGGGGACCAAGGAAAGTCTTATCACTGAGGGAACATTGGAGCACTGACTTGGCAATGAGGGAGTGAGTCACCAGTTCTCTGGGGAAGTACAGGCGAAGCAGCGGGAGGAGCAAGTGCAAAGACCCTGGGGTGGGCGTGTGGCTGGGGCAGCATGGGAGGTGGCACGGGAGGCCTCGCAGCATGTACTCAGGAAGCGAGTGGGGGCACCAGAGGGTTCTGAGCACCATCGGCTCAAGGTCTGAGGGGGCCCGCAGAAGTGTCTGTGTGCCCAGGAGGAGGGCAAGTGCTCACCGCAGGACCTGGGTAGGTGCTGGCTTCACAGTTCTCCCTCCAGGACATGTTGAGGCTACGCACAAACTCGGGGTAGAAGGGATGTGAAGTGTTGAACATGGAGAAGCCCAGGATGTTGGAGGTGTCCTCCACGATCCCGTCCAGGTGCAGGATGGGGAAGTCCTGGGACCAAGTGGAAGAGGTGACGCCTGGGGCCAGGCCCCACACAGGGCAGACACCACGAGCGGGGTGTGGGGGCCAGAGGGGCTAGATGGGGTACGCACCATGGTGGTGAGGATGTACTTGTAAAATGCTGAGGTCATCCCCAGCTCTGAGGCCTGGAGGACACGGGGCGGTGCGGAGGTGGCGGGAGAGGTGGAGACCCACGGGAAGAGCCGAGAAGACGCCGAGAGAGGAAGAGAGATTTAGAGACAGGCCTAGTGAAGACACCCGTGGGAAATGCAGTAAGAGACACCCCAAGACAGAGACAGGGAGAAGGGGACGCGTGGGGGCAGAGGAAGACCTCGGTCCCTGATGTCGTGCTGCGTGGACCGGTGCCCCAGGTGGGGTGAAGGTCTCGGTGGAGGAGCGAATGGCAACCTCAGATGCCCTTATCCCTCTCTAGGGTACTCACAAGACAGCCTTCTGGACACAGGCAGGCAAAGGGATGCCTTAGAAACAGGGCAGGCTGGGAGAGTACCCTGAGCCTTAACCTTCTCCCCACACTGCCCCAAAGCCGAGTGTGGGCTGCTACTGTGTGCGGCTCAGCCTGGTCATAGGCCAGATAACCACCACCCCCCACGCCGCCGCAATCTTTAAGGGCACTTTGCAAGGCTTCAGCTGGAATCTCAAAATTCAAGTTTGGAGCCCCCTTCTTCCCAGTCCTCAAGGAGAACAAAAGGAGAAGGCCTCTCTCTACAAGGGGTGTGGAACCCCGTCCCCGCTACGGTCATTAGCACGGTAAACGGCATCCCAGCCTGCGTTGCCCGAGGGGCAGGAGTCATCATCGTGAGGTCAGGAAGTGCAGGCTCAAGAGGAAAGTGACCGCTGGTCACTAGGTTCACAGGACCCCAGCCCCGGCCCGCCTCCCTCCCAAGCCCAAAATCCTTTCTCTAAGCTTTCCTGCCTCAAGGGCCCTGTGGATTCTGTCCACACGTCTTCCTGTACACTATGATCAGCAGTGACACATGGTTTTAATTAGAAAAAAAAAACAAAAAAACTGGAAAAAATAAATAATACAGATCAGATTACGAGGATGAATTAAGAGCACGGAAGCAATGAATGATGAATGAATATGGGTCACCGCTGGGGGGCATGTGGCAGGCCCGCGGGGCAAGGTCCGGGCACTATACCCCGTCTGGGTGCCCTTGAGCCAGCCCATCCCGCCCCCCAGAACCCCAGCTCCTTCGGCCACAAAATGACTATCACACCCACCCCGCACGGTGGGTGGGAGCCAAATTCAAGTGCCTCCACGCAGCAGGACCGGCGCTCAGTGAAGATCATGGGGAGCTCCCAATGCAGTGACCCACCGAGGCAGAAACTGTGCAGAGAGGGGAGGGGACTCTCCAGGGCCCGACCAGGGGTGCAACCGGGAAGCAGCCGAGCTAATTGTCTGCACGTAGGAAGCAGGTCTCCACATCCCACGGGACCACTGAGGCACATGGGCATGGGGTGACTTGCTGTCAAGCCACATTTCCACCCCAACCCTGTAGGGAATCAGAGACTTGGGGACCCACCTTACGGAGGATGAGGTGGGAGATAGATGCATTGGCGTCAATGATGATGGTGGACACCTTGTCGTCGCGGATCTCCTTGAGCAGCGGTGTGGGGTCCCGGCTGTCGTCCAGCATCCTCACCGACAGCGTCTCCTTGGAGATGAGGAAGCCACGCACCAGCTCCTCCAACCGCAACAGGCCTGGGGGAGCCGGAGAGCCCGGGTCAGAGTCCCATGGCAAGTGCCCGGCGTAGGGGAGCCTGGGAGAGGACGAGGGCCACACTGCCCGGAGCGCGGTGGCTCTCTTGGGGGTTCTGGGCCCCGGGACCCCCTGCTTAACCTCCACGCAACTGTCTCCCGCCACCTTTCTGCCCCCCTGGGACGTGTGACAGGGATTTCACAGTTGGCTCGTGCAAGCCATGTTCCACTCCTGCTGCCCAAGCCACCAGCAGCCTGCCTGGGGCTCAGGCCCAAACCCTGACAGCAGCCCAGCCTCCCCACACTCTCTCTCACCCACACCCAACAGGCCCAGGCTCCACCTGCAGAACTCGGCAGGGCCCAGGGTGCCGGCCCCCCCCCACCACCCTGACCTGAACCACTGCCTTCCCTCACCCGCTACGACAGCCACACCTGCCCCCCACCCCGAGTCTGTCCCCTTCACAGCGGCCACCGGCAAGCAAAGCAGAGGTGCTCCTCCTCATGCCCAAACCCTCTCATGGCTTCTGGCTCTTTCATAGCAGAGGCCCCAGGCCTCACAGCTTCTGGGCCCCACTCCCCCTGCCTTCTCCGTCTGGCACACACCTAGGCAGCGCTCTTGTCCTGTGGCCTTTGTGCTATAGCTGCTCCCTCTTGACCCAGATGCCCGCACAACTCCCTCCCTCACCTCCTTGTCACCTCCTCAAAGAGGTGGTCACCATTCCGCTTCGGATAGCACCTCCTTCCTACTTCCTAGCTCCTGCCACAGAAAGCCTTGGCAGGCCAGGGGTCCTGGCCTGGCTGGAGCATGCACTGCTCTATCTCCAATACCAAGAACAAAGTCTTGGCAGGCGTTCCTTAAATACCTTTGGAAAGACGATTTCTCCTGGAGGTTACTGAGCATGCCCCGCCCCCCCTCCAGCTGCACACCCACAAAGCCACCGGCCTACTGAACACCTCCACTCGATGGCCACAAAGATGCCTCGACCCCGACGTGTGCCTCAACCTGACTGCTCCCTCCATCTCGGGCAGAACCCAGTCACCATCTGTGCGGCCCCTCTCCCTTTTCCCTCAGGACTCTCCCCAAACCCCTCGTGGCCCCTCTCGAGCCCACTGCCACCACCAGACACCTAAGCAGCATCACATCACCCTGCCTGTCGCCGGCCTCCCAGCCACACCCTGTGGCCCCTCCAGTCCGTTCTCTGTGCTGGGGTCAGGGCTCTTCCTGCAGTGCACCCGGCCGTGTCCCCTGCCCCACCCTTTGTGGGAAACTTCCAGGGCCACAAGGCTGACACAAGGCCCCAAATGAGCGTGCCTCCTGTACGTGCTGCTTCATGGCTCCCACACTCGGGCACCAGGCTCGCCAGGAGCTTCCTTGAGCCTCTCACTGGGGCCACACTCCCCTGGACCTTCAACCTCTGCCCTGCCACACACTCCCCCTTCTCCCTGACCCCAACTCCTCCCCAACCTTTAGGTCCCACTCAGAGGCCCCTTTCTTGGCGACACGGGCTCTGAGGCTTCTGGACCCAGGTAGGATTCCCTTCTGTGTGCTCTGACAGTACCCCACAGGGCCACTGACAGAGCATGGATCACTCTGTGTCACAGCTGCTCGGCTGCCATGTCCCCCACTGGCCCTGGAGTGACCTCAGGGACCACACCCAGTGCGCACCCACCAGGGCCTAGCAGGGGCCTTGCACACAGGTGCCAGTCACTAGCTGCTGACCAAATGATCTCTTTAGGGAGGTGGGCGGGTCTGGGTTCCTGAGGGGGAAGGATGGTGGGGGACGAGGGGAGCTTGTGCCGTGTGGGAGACTAGAGCTCTTGGGTAGGGGAATTTGGGGGAATACAAACAAAACATCCAGTTCTCCCTCACACTCGGCCTTGGCGCAGATGAGGCTGGCCGAGGGGTAGTTGAAGGACTTGAGGATGCGGGAGACCGCCAGGCTGACGTCCTCGTTACTGGGGTACAGGCTGACGGACGCGAAGCGCAGGTACTGCAGGCGGGGTGTCTCCTCGGGACCCACCTTGATGTGGGGGATCTGGACAGAAAAGAAGCCTTTGCTTCTGCCCTGTTGCCGCCTCCCCAGCCTCGCCTCCCAGGGACCCACCCTTACCCTGCCCTGCACTCAGCTCACCTCCTTCTCCCCACAGATATGGCTCACGGTGGAGGCAGACGCAGGGCTGGAGGAGGGCCCCAGGACAGACACGACCCCCTTGGGCAGGATCTGACACACTGCGAGGGATGGGGAGAGACAAACGGCAGTCAGGGGCCCTCCTTTCGTCCCCCACCTGGCCCGGGAGTACCTCTGACGCTTGGAGCTGCCCAATCCCCCTTGGCCACTCCAGACCCAGAGGCCCAATCCCCGACCCCACCCACTGCATTGGAGAAGACAGAGAGAGATGGGGAGAAATGGCAAGAGGGATGGGTCAGACCAAGAGAGAAACAACGGAAGGACAAAGAGGAAAGAGCAGGGGCCTCCTGGCTGCAAAGCTAGCACCTGCTTCCCCAGCCTGTCTCACTCCTCCTTTCTAACCATGCTACAATCTGGGGTACAGCCCATAGCCCCTCCACCCCAAACCCACAGCCGAGGGCCCCTCTCTGCCCCACATCCCAACATGGTTCTTTTCTTGCATTCATTTGCTCCTCTTTCTTCTGATTTCTTTCCCCTTAAACACGTGCGCATCTCGACACTGGGAGCTAGAAGCTGTTGTTTTTGCCTGCCTGGTGCCCATTCTCATGGCAAAACCCTAACTTCTCCTCGGGGAACCGTAGGTTTCCCAGGATTGGCCGGCACCCGAGCCAGTATCAGAACCACGCTGTCCTGGCCAAAGTGATTGGCGCAGAGATGGGGATGGGTTCAAACCAGGCCATCAAGAGCCTTCCCCAGGTTTCTGCTACATTTATCACTAGGTTTGCTATCCTGGTAAGATGTAAGTTTTGAGCTGCTGGGCTGGGATATTTGGGAGAGTATTCCTGAAAATGAAACCAACTTAGAGGAGATCAGGGCCCACAGATGAAGACACAAAGATTCCCGGGATATCATTTAAAGTTCCTGGATCAAGCCATGCCTGAAACAATCCTAGGCATCATTTGAGTACCTGGATCAAGCCATGCCTAAAACAATCCTGGGACATAATGTGAGAACCTGGATGAAGCCATGCCTGAAATTAGTCCCTAGGCCTTCTAGTGCCATGAGCGGATAAGTTCTCTTTTTCCCTTAAGGCAGTTCAAGTCGGTGGGTGCCTGGGTGGCTCAGTCGTTAAGCGTCTGCCTTCGGCTCAGGTCATGATCCCAGGGTCCTGGGATCGAGCCCTGCATCGGGCTCCCTGCTCAGTGGGTAGCCTGCTTCTCCCACTCCCCCTGCTTGTGTTCCCTCTCTTGCTGTCTTTCTCTCTGTGTCAAATAAATAAATAAAATCTTAAAAAAAAAAAAAAAAGCAGCTTGAGTGGGGTTTCTGCCACATCCAACTAAAAGCATCATAGCTAAATACCTTACCTTCTAAACTCGATTCTTCTCTGCCTTCCACATTGGTGAAGGCCCCATTTCCACAAAGCAAATGCTTAGAAACGATTCTCGCCTTCAAGCCTTCTCTCAATAGGCAAATTAGTCACACCAAGTCCTGTCTCTTTTTTGTCCTCAAATTTTCTCACATCTGTCCCCTTCTCTTTGACCCCCTCCTCCCCTGCCCTACTTTAGGGCTCTCAACTCAGGCATGCAACACCCTCCTCACTGATCACCCAAATCTAGCCTCCAGGATTCACCTTCCAGAAGCCCAGCTCCCTGGCCTAAACCCATAGATGGCTCCCTTCTGCCTAGAGGTGAGGATGGCATCTTTCAGCCTGCCACTGTAGGCCTTCTTGAACTGATCTGCCCATCTGCCCAGCCTCACCTCTCATTGCTCTGTCACACTTCAGCCCAAAATTCGCTCATGATCCCTCCAAACATGTCCTGAGTCCAGGTAGTCGGGACAGGTGCAACCCCACACCCTGTTCCTTGACTCCATATACCCACGTCCTCCACTCCAGCTCCAGACCATAGTCACGTCTGGAACACCATCCGCCTCTTCACCCTCCATCCTAGCTTCTCCCAGTTTGTGTTCTGTGCTGCACCAGTCAGAAAAGTACAAGAAACACTGTACCCCATTCTTCCTCTCACTGATTTAAAACAAACGTGAATATAACAAAGGCTCTGATAAGGCCTGTAAGAAGTCAACCAGTCTAAAACACTGAAGGCAGCATCTCCTGAAGATGTACAAACCCAGCATGTCTGTTCAAGAGATACCTATTAACATTCGCTCGATCTATGAGAATCCAACAAATACTTCTGCACCTCTACTATATGGCTCCAGGGCGTACTTTGAGCAATGCCACTCCTTCTATATCCTGCTCAACTTTCAGAGCTCAGAACTTTAGTTTAGCCTTCTCCAGAGTGCCTTCACTGTCCCTGCTCCTGAGGCTCCCTGGCCTCGCTGCCCAGGCCTGTCATTACTCAGCTCGGGGGACTATGACCCTGGCCAACTCATCTTTCAGATGAGGCCCTCAGCTCCTATAAGGGGTGAACTGGGGCTGGCGCTCTCCCCACCTCCCCACGCCCAGCAGCACCATCTCTGGGAAGGGAAAGGCAGAGCGGACATGAAGGAAGGAGCAGGTAAAGCTAGAAAGAAAGCAAGCAAGCTGATGAATAGATTGAGGGCTACCAGCCTGCCCTGCCTCACCCCACGCCCCCTGTGGCCCTGCTCACTGGTGTCCGTGGTCTCGTACTGGCTGTCCCGCTGAAGCTCAAAGATATCTACTTCCACCCGGGCCTTGGCTGGGACCTCGATGATCCCGTTGATCTGCTCCCGGGCCAGAGCCAGGGCCAGACGCTCACCGCGGCCGCACACCGTCTGGTCGTCCAGGATTGCAGCTGAGGGGACACAGGGGTTGGGGACCAGACTCTGGGTCCTGAGAAAGGAGAGGCTGGGGTCCTAGACTCCTGGGCTCTGAGGTGGGGGTGGGGATGCTGACAGAGGGTCTAGGCTCCTGGATCTGGGGTTGGACAGAGCTGGGGGTCTGGACTGCTGGGTCCAGGAGGAAGAAGGAGCAGGAGGCTGCTCTTCCTTGTTGCTGAGGGAAGCTGAGACCTGAAGCCCAGACCCCCAGGGCCTGAGGGACTGGCACGCTCAGGGAGGGTCTCTGTGGAGGCAGGGCAGGGGCTGTAGGGCCTCACCCATGCGCAGCGATGAGAGCACCTGGCAGCTGGGGCTGGCGAAGGCAACAATCAGCAGCAGCAGCAGCTCAGCCGGCATCTTCCTCCCCTCCTCATGGGGACGCAGCTGCCGCGGCCCCCACTCGCCACCTGCAGGGAGCCCCCCCCCGCCCATGGCGGGGGGGAGACGGCTGATATGGAGGGGCCTCAGAGCCCTTTGGTGACCACAGGCCCCGGGCCATTGTGGGTGAGCTCTGAAGGGCCCTGCCCTTGTCAGAAGCTGACGATACTGAGGGCATCGCCACGAAGGAAGCTCGGGCCCTGACAGCACTACCAGCGAGGAGCTCCCAGCACTGAGTGGGATAGGCACTGCTGGAGGACATTCACAGCTACCAAAATGGGAGGGATCTCAGGTTAAGAGCGAATTCCAGGGACCATCCCCACTGCAACAGGAACCCAGGAAGTGCCACCCCCCTCACCCAGTCCCGCCCCTGTCTCCGGGCAGGCAGCTGTTACTAGGCAACAGAAACTGGCTGGAGAGGATGCGGTAGTTGCTAGGCAACCCCATCCCAGGCCTCACTTGCCACCTTCCTGACGTCCCTGGCTCCCATAATCCCATGGGGAGAGAGGCCTGGACATCCGGGGTCTGGAGGGGAGAGTATCCGGGAGTTAAGGAAACTTGGAAAGAGAGGGAATGATGGAGAGAGACGGAGACACACACGGAGACACACAGATGGAGACAAATGGATGGACCTGAGGCAGCCAAGGGGCTAAAAAAAAAAAAAAAAAATTAGAGAGAGAGAAGGGAGAAACAGAAAGACAAAAATAGGAAGAGAGGCTGAGGCAGAGAAAATACAAAGAGACTCAGGAAAGGGGAAAGAGAAAAACAGGCAGAAATGCAAGAGAACAAGAACATAAGACAGGAAAGGGAGGGGACAGAGATGGAGAAGACAGAGGAGCTTCTGGGAGGTAAGGACAGGACTAGGAGGAAGAGGGAAGAGGCAAGAAGGCAGGGGGCCGTGGGGGTGGAGAAAGGGCAGGGCGGGGAGAGGAGTGTAGGGCAGGCAGCAGAGAGGGAAATCAAGGCACAAGAGACACAGAATAGGACAGGGAGACAAAATGGAGAGAGGACACAATCCCACTTAAGATGCCACCAGAAGTAGCTGGAAGAGAAGAGTAAGGCAGGGAGGAAGCTGTCTGCCAAAGCAGGTGCCACACCGCAGCCCCCACCCTGCTCTGGGGAGCTGAGGAGTAGGGGGAGACAGTGCAACTCTGCTCCCCAGAACGGCTCCATCCCCAGGGAGTTAGAGTCCTCCAGGAGCCCCAGCCTTCTGCGGAGCACCCCGCCTCCTTCCCCTTCCCCCGCAACCAGGGAAGGAATGAGTTCGGCTAGGTGCACAACTTCACCTGGCCAAGAGCCATGCCCCAGTGGAAGGGACATTGGGTTTCCAGGGGAGAGGGTTACTGTGAGGCTCACAGTGCTGTGAGGTGAGCTTGGGGGGTCTCCCTGCACCTAATCTGATCCCCATAGAAGAGGGGCTTGAGCTAGTGAGATGGCAGAGTGAAACCTGCCAGGGGAGGGTGGAGGCACAATGCAATGCTTCGGACCATCCTCGCGGCCAGGAAAACCTAGGCCAGGGCAGCAGGAGACCCTATCAGTCCCTGCTCTGCCCCGACTCCCACCTGACCTTGAGCAGGTCCCTCTCTCAGCGCCTCTGCAAAAGGCAGGCTGGGGGTGGGAGGGCATCCTGGACAGGCTGGGGGCTGCAGATGGTCATTTGGATCTAAAGTGAAGGCTTCAAGGGTGGAGGAGCAAGGCAAGTTGGAGACCAGGAAGAACTCTCAGGGGGAGGGCTGTGGAGGGTGGGGCTCGGAGAGAGGCAGGGGCGAAGGGGGGGGGTCATCTCGAGACACCAGGAGCTTCTGGGGGCAAATCGGGGAACAGAGACTGGAGGACAGGGAAGCCCGAGGGAGAGACAGGGGCCAGGAGGGCACGGTCCCACAGGTGGCAGACACAGGTAGGAGCAGAAAGACAAGAGTACGGGGGCCAGGGTTGGGGGCAGCGGATGGACAAAGACATACAGGAAGGCAGAAAAGACAGACAGACCAAAAAGAAGTAACTGGGGCTAAACGAGAGACAAGGACACACACATGTTGTCTAGAAGTGAGACACAAGAGGAACAGAGACAAAACGGCCAGGGTGAGGCAGGGAAGCAGGCAGCCCTGAGCCCCACAGGCCCAGACACTTAGGCAAAGCCAAACAGCCGCCAACTGGGCAGAAGGAGCCGAGAGAGGGGCCCTGCCAGGGGAGGGAGACAGACAAGAGGGTGAGCAGGAGACATGGCCAAGGTGAGAAGGGAAATGGGTGAGTCAAATGGGGTGAGGAAGAGGGCAAAGAGAAAAAAGACCACAGGTGCAAGGATTGCGGGGGGTGGGGGGGGACAAATCACAAAACTCTGACAGGAAGAGGGCTAGGTGGGAAGAGACAGAGGAAAATGAATGTCAGAGCCACACAGCAGATGTAGAGAAGAGGAGGGGGCCAGTGGGGCAGGCACAAACTAGGGGAAGGACAGTGAGGCCCAGGGAGGGAAATGAGGTGGGGAGGAAGAGCGAGTAACCTAGAGGGGCACAGGCAGGGACAGGGTAAGTGCCCATGTAAGGGGGCCCGGTCCACGCTGAGGCGCATCCACCCAGGGCGTCTGGAGGAGGGTGGTCGATCCCCGGAGCCCACAAACCCCAAGGCATGGGGAGGGATGAGGACCGACAGGCCAGCAGGATGCAGAAATGAGCAGAGGATGGGGGGGGAGGGGGGAGACCACCAAGGAAAAGGCAAAGTGGACCCCGGAGTGGCTAAGGAGAGAGGAGTGGATTTGCGGGAGGAGGGCAGAAAAGTGAACAGGAAGACAGCCTCCAAGTGCAAGGGCAGAGAAGGAGGCTAGGGGAGCAGGGCCACAGGCAGAGCAAGGAGTGGACACAGAGCCACAGCTGGCAGCGTGGGCACCACCAAAAGAGCCAGACAAGAGACAGGGGAGTTTTGAGAGAGAGAGAGAGAGATCAACAGAGAGACCAAGAAAGGGTTAGGCCAACGGCAAAGAAGAGAGAAGTTAGACAGAGTCAGAGAGCGGCCCAAGAGAACACGAAATGGACATTGTAAAACGGAAAGACATTTCCAGGAGAGAGCGAGCGGAAGGGATAGGGATGGGCCCGTGGCAGGCGGAGAGGGTGAGCCTCCGAGGAAAGAAGAGAGGCGGAAAGAGAGGGAGAGCAGAGCCGGTCACCGCGGGACCGCGGCGGGAGAAAGCAGGAGCGGAGACTGGCCGGGAGTCCCAGACAAGGAGTGAGCCCTCAGGTAAGAGCCAGGCAGCCCCTCAGGACCCCGGAGGCGGGGAGCCGGGGGTAAGGCTGAGCTGTGCACCCAGAAGAAGGGTGAGGAGAGGCTGAGGGGAACGGCGGTTGGGAGATGGGGGACACGAGGCGGGCCCCTACTCAGGGAGAGGCAGGGGGACGTGGGGGCCCCACCAGGCGGCCTTGAGCCCAGCCTTCCAGGACCCAGGCTGGCCCGAGCCCAACCCCTGCCCCGCAGACACTCACGGATCCTGGTGGGACGGAGGGCTGGGCTCCCTCGAGGCCCGAGAAGACAGCGAGGAGATGCTCTGGCGCTGGGTGGTGGTGTGGCCGGGGCGGGGGGAGAGGGCAGTCCACAGGGCCCCCTCCCCCGCCGCCGACAGTGGCCCCCAACTAGTCCAAAACGGAGGCTCCCCGGGAGCAAGGAGGAAGGACAGGTGGAATCGGAGAGGGTGGGCCGGGGCAGGGAGGAAGGGGAAAGGAGAAAATGGAGGAGAGAAGGGGAGAGAGGAGAGGGGGAAGGAGCAAATGGAGGGGAAGGAGGGAGGAAAGGAGGAGAGGAAGGTGAAAACGGAAGGGAGGGGGGCACAGGCAAAGCCGGGGGAGGGGGAAGCCGGCCCAGGAAAGGGCCCCCACCCCCTCCCCTAGCCGGGCCGGCCTGGGGGGGCCACGGGGGGCGAGGACTGGCTGGAGACCAAGAAGCCGGCCATCAGGAGGAGTGGGGGAGGGGAGGGCTGGATTGGGGGGAGGGGGCCACCCCTTCCCCCCTCCCCCCTGGAGCCTTGGCCCTGCCCTGGATAAGGCAAGGGCCTGGAGTCCTCAAGCCCTCAGCCCCCAAGGGAAAAGCATGCTAGGGGCGGGGAGAAGCCGAGGGGTGGAGGGGCCGGGGAGGACGGGGTGCTGGGAGACTCGGAGAGCTGAGACGGGGGCAGGCGAGGTGGAGGGATGGGGAGGAGGGAGGGAAGGATGGAGAGGAGCAGGTGGAAGAGGAAGGCGGAGGAGGGTGGGGTGTCCCGGGGGCGCCCGGTGCAGGGCTTCAGTGGGAGGGCCTGGCCACGGACTCCTGGTCCCCTGCGAGGCGCAGCCGCCGGCTCTGGGTCCCCAGCTGGGCCTGCCTCCCTGCCGCTGGCCACCGCCGCCACCGCCGCCAACACCACCACCACCACCACCACCTCCGCCGCCGCCACCTCTCCTTCTCCCCTCCGAGGCCGCCGCCTGCCTGCCTGCCCGCCCGCCGCCCGCTGCCCGCTGCCCGCCGCCCGCGCTGGGTCCTGGAGCGGGGGGGGGGGGGGGGGGGGAGGAGGGAGGGAGGGAGGGAGGCAGGGAGGAGGGTGGGCAGGAGGAAGGGAGGGCAGCAGGCGGAGAAAGAGGAGGGAGGGGAGTGGGGGGGAGGGGGAGCTCGTATTGGTCGGGGCTGGGGGGCCCGCGAGGAGAATGCTGATGAGGGGAAGGCGCTGCATTGGACGGAGGGCCCACCCCCGGGCCACCCCCTCCACCACCATGCCACCGCCCTGCCCAGGAGCCCACGGAGATGAGAGACAGGGAGAGCTGAGAAGGCCATGGAGCTAGTGGGGAGAGGGCTACAGAGATGAAGAAAAATGCAGAGGAATAGCAAGACAGCCATCAAAACTCACAGAGGTGGGCCAAGGTCCACAGACCCCACCAGGACGAGGACAGGGAAAAGCCCAGAGAAAAGAGGGAAAAGCCCATGGAAACATGGGAGCAGACCAGAGACACCTAAGGACCTCAATGACAGACGAGGGCAGCTGGTGGACACAGAGAGCCCCCCAGGAAGATGGAGAGAGGCCCATGGGAACAGAAAGCACTCCTCAGACATGGGGAGTGGTCCATGGGGACGGGAGAAGGCCACAGAAATGGGAACAAGGACGGACGCATATCACAGAGACAGGGAGGTGGGCCAAGCGAAGTAGGAGGAGGTCACAGAAGTGGGGATGGGGGGAAACAGCTACCAGGAACCCATGAAAAAAACGATGTGTGGACACAACAGGCCCCCTAAGGCAGGAGGAGCCAGCCCGTGGAGATAAGGAAGAAGCCCCTAGAAGTAGAAATAGCCCCTGTGGAGGGGAAGGGATGGGTGGGGAGTATGGGAATTGTCTATAATGCATTGAGAAATCCTTGGGCCCCACAGACATGAGCGGGTGGCGTGAAGAGGCTCTCCTTCTCAAGCCACCACCTGAGCAGAGAGGCAGTGGGAAAGGGCAGGAAGCTGGAGGGCAGAGCCAGCAGAAGTGGGAGACTCCCTCTCAGGGAGCCCATGGCAGCTTCTCAGAGGGAACTGAGCAGGACAGGGGGATGGAAGACAGAAGCAGTGACACAGATCTTAGAGTGGGGGTGGGTGGTGCACGGCTGGGTGGGGGATGAAATTTGGGGGGAAGGAACATGACAGTTGGCGCTGAAGGCTGAGCCCGTGACTCACCACCACCCCCAATGCTCGTGATGGGGAGGAGACACTGACACACTCACGTGCAGCCCCCCAGCACACGTGACCATATGCCTTCACACACACACACACACACACACACACACACACACACACACACACAGCACATGGCAACCCTTCCACCAGCCTGGCATTGAAAGCCCTCGTCCCATATGGAGCATCCCTGACATACGCCTGACACATACAATGGACCCTGAAGGACCATCAACTTTGCATACACCTCCTCACCCTACATGGGCAACACCTATGGTCCCCCAACACCTACCCTCAGCTCCCGCTAAGGCTGAAAGCCTAGACTCTCGCCAGTCTCTAGGCCTTTGCTTATGCAGGGACCCCAGCAAAGAATGCCTATCCTCTCTAAAATAAACCTACCCCAGAAATCTAGTCTCACGCCACCACCTTCACAAAGACTGATCCAGGCCTCAGCTTACTCCTGTATCATCAGAAGAGAAGGAACCGAGCGAGTCAACCCGGATAAACTGGGAAGTCCAAGCAAAAGGTCTGAGCAGAAAGGGGCCTGACACGCCAAGATGGACCCTTGCGTTTTCAGGTGGAAAAGGGGGCTTCAGCAGGAGTGAGAACCTGCCCAACTGCATGGAGGCTATCAAAGGCTGAGTCTAGCTTCCAGGTTCTCTGGCTCCCTCCCCAGTTGATTTCACTCTGATGGCAAACCCAGATGACTAGCTTTAGAGCTCACACATTCCCACCAAGTTCTTTTCTCTACTTCTTGCGTTCATCCATTCGACATGCCAAGAGGGACAGGACATCCACCTGCCAGGGAGTAGTAGAGCCTGGGGGCCAAGAGCATAGACCCTGGAGTTGATTCCTGGGTTGGAACCCTGGCTCTGTCTCCTTCTAAAGATAGGCAAGCTACTTAACTTCTCTGGGCCCCAGTCTCTTTGTAACGTGAGAACAGTAACTCCTCCCTCCTGGGGTTGTTGAGATGATTAAGCTGATAAAGCGTACAAAGCACTAAGCACAATAGTTGGCACGTAACACACTCAGGACACAACAGCTATCATTACTGAGCTCCTTGAGGTCCTAATAAAAGTAATTCTTACATAGCGTTTACTCTGTGCCTCACAACCATGACACAGGGGCTATTATCTTCATTTTACAGATGAGGAAACTGAGGCACAGGGGAGTTAACTTGTCCAAAACATTAGCTAGGAAGCGGCCAGGTCAGGATTTCAATCCAGACAGCCCGGTTTAATTACACTGGCTTGGCGTTAGGGATTTTAATTTAGTGGAAAGTTAGGACACCCAATTAGAAACCAATTGAAGGACACAGCAAAGGTGATGACCGAAGAGTCAGACCTAGGGTTGCCTAGTAGATTTTAGCCTCAGGAAAGCTGAGACTCAGTTTACTCATTTGAGAAATGGCAGGGCGGGGAAGGCGGGGGCGGCTAGAGAGAACAAATGAATCTCTTGCAGCTCCCCAGCTCCCCTGAGTTCAGAGGGTAGCTCTGGAAACATAACAGTGCGCTGCCAACGCCCTGAGGGCCAGAAGGGGAGATGAGCAGGGATGGGCAGGGGCCCTTGGACACATGGAGACTCCACGGTCCGAGGGGCCCTGGGTCAGCCTAGAAGGAAGGCACCTTGGAAGGCAGCAGAGCAGAGTCCATCTGCTACAGGGTCACTTTCTGCAGGTTCTCACCCTAGTTGTCCTTCAGGTCTTCTACACCACCCCCCACACTCTCCGTTTCTTCCAGTGAAGCTGTCCTTGCTTTTTCTTTATCCCATTTCCTCCCTTCTTCAAGTTTTCCTCCTTCCCTCAGATCCCCGCGCTCCTTGCTTCCCTTTTGACATTTCTCCTTCCCCCTCCCCCAAGAGTCCCTCGGTTTTTCTCCCCTTCCTTCTTGCTGCCTCCGTTCTTCTTTCTAATAAAAGGAGTCTGGAGCCTCAGTTTCCCTTTTTACTCCCTCCACGTGCTTCGTGTTGCAGTTTCCCCTCCCCGCTTCGCGCTGACAGGTGCTTCACTTTCTCCCTTCACTCCTCGGGGGTTCCTGCGCCACCGTTCCCCCGCCCCCACCCTCTGGGTCTCGTGTGCCTCAATTTCTCCGACTTCCCCCCTCGACCCCGACGCTACTCCCGCCCGGCGCCCCCAAAATGGCGCCCGCAGCCTCGCTCCGCCGCCTGACGTCACCGCGCTGCCCTCCCTTCTTCAGGCGTCAGGCGGAGTCGACGAGCAGCTGGAGGAGGAGCATCCTCCAAAGGGCTTAAGGAGGCGGACACTATCAACCCGGGGGCCGGCCGGTGAGGGGACATCGCTGGAGGATTGGTTGGGCACTGCGGCGGATCCCGACGCTCCATCCTATTGGCCCAAGGCTCAGAGACGTGAGCCTCGATTGGTCAAAAGGCGGGAGCCAGACGGACGCTGATTGGGCGCGTTCGGCCGTTCACGGAGCGGCCGAGGAGGAAGGTAGGCGGGGCGTTGCTGAGGGCGATTGGGGGCGAGAGCGAGGCTGCAGAGCAGCCGAGAGGCGACGGCGGGAGCTAGAGAGGGCGCAGCGGTAGGGTGGCCGCGCGAGGGGAGCGGCGGCCCGGGCCTGGGCCCGGGGCGTGCGAGACGGCGGAGGCGGGTGAGTGCGGGCGGGCGTGCGGCAGGCCGGCCCGGCTTCCCCCCTCCCCCGCTCCCGGCCGCCCCACGCCACCCCGCCTGCGCACTGAGGGCCGGAGGGGGCGCGCGCCGGGCGGGGAGGGCGGAGCGGCACCAACGGCCGGCGGGGCGCGCGGGCGGCCGGGGTGGGGGGCCGGGCCGGGAGGGCGGGTGGGGAAGGGGGCTAGAGTCGCGTGCTGGGCTGAGTGAGGAGGGGCGGGGCCCGGGCCGGGGGCTGGGAGGGACCTGGGTGGGAAGGGAGGCGTTAGAGGTACCCCCCCGGAGAGTGTCCAAGGCTCCAGGGGGTATCGGGGCCCAGGCCTGGTGGTGGGGCCGACCAGGACCGAAGCGGGGTGGACGGTTAGAGGGGGCTTGCGTGTCCGGGGAGGGGGTTAGGGCCTGAGGAAAGAGGTAATTAACATAAAGAGATAAACCTGGGTAAGCCTGGAAGGCATTAGACCACTGAGAGGGGCTTGGTGTGAAAAGGTATTAGCAAATGAATATCCCTGGAGGGAGGATTTGGAGCTGAGGCAGAGGTCCGGGTATTGAGAACGGGGTTGCATTCATGTGAAGGGAGTTCGGGGGAGGGGGGGCTACCGTTGGAATGGGTCGAGAGGAGTCTCTGTGCAAAGGGTTATGTTATGTGAAGAGGGTGTCTGGGTGTCCCTAGGATAGGTTGGGTAGAGGTAATGTTTTTGAAAAGTACAGGGAATTAGGTCAAGGTGAAGAGTGGTAATTGGGTATCCCTGGAGAAGGTTAGCGGGGTGGAGAGGTCCGGGTACTAAGTGGGCGAAGGTCTTGGTATCGCTGGAATGAGAACGAGCTGTTAGGTTGACAAGAAGTTGGGGGTCTGGGTATCCCCAGGGTAATATGCTGGTGAGACGGGTCTGGGTGTGAGGAAGAGGGGTCTGGCTATCCTCTGTCTAGCTTGGGGGGGGGGCGGAGGGGTTCAGCATAAGAAGGAGGTAGTGTCTGGGTATTCCTAAAGGGGATTTGGGGCGGGGGGGGGGTGGCATATGTGTGAAAGTTTAAGCCTTTGTGAAGGGTAGTCTGGATCTCCCTGGATTGGGTTAGAGCATGTGCCAGGATCTTTTTGCAAAGGAGAGAAACTAAGTTGTTAGGAAGAGGGCGTCTCAGCATCCCTGGAATGGGTTAGAGCGGGGCTGGGTCTTTCTGCAAGGAAGAGGGGTTTATGCTGCTATGAAGAGGGGATCTGGGGATCCCTAGAATGGGCTAGGGTGGGAACAGGTCATTTTGCAAAGAAGAAAAGCTTAGGTATTTTAATAATGCGAAAGGGGGTCTGGACGTCCCTGGGCATGGGTTAGGCACAGAGGTTTGTAAGGAAGGGTTTAAGGTGATGTGAAGACCGTGTCTGGGCATCCCTAAAATGGGTTAGGCTGGGTCATTTTGTAAAGAAGAGGGGCTGAGGTTGATATGAAGAGGCACCTAGGGCATCCCTATAGTGGTTGGGGTAGAAGAGGGGATCTGGGTACCCCAGGGGGGATTAGAATTAGGTGAGGTCTCAGTGTAAAGAATAAGTAATTACCGTGAAGGGTGAGACATGAGTTGGGGTGATGGGTAGAATATAGGTATGAAGAAAGGGTTAGGCTTTTGTGAAGCGGGGATGGGTATTCTGGATAGGGGGTTAGGGCTGTGGGAGAGGGCTTTGATTTGTAGAGAGCTAAGCACTTTGAAAAGGGGGATCTGGGTATCATGGACAAGTGGTCTAGGAGGGGAAAGTGTAGGTGTAGTGATGGGTTAGGCCAGCATGAGACAAGTTGGTTGAGGGAAGGGCAAGTTTTGATGTGAGGGATCTGGGCACCAGAGAGAGAGACAGTGTATAACAGGCGTATGTAAAGGAGAGGGGTTGTACCATGTGAGGGTGCAGAAAGTGGCGGGGCCTTGGGGCAGTTTGAGTCCTCTGGTGTAAAAAGATGTCTGGAACCTGGCAGAGGGAACAGAGGAGGAGGGAGGCTGGGAGAAGTGGCGGTGGTTAGGGCCTGTGAGGACTCCCCCAGGCACCCGGGAGCAGGAATGGGGCAGGGAGTTGGGAAGGAGAGGAAGTCAGCAGAAGGGGGCTCGAATGGAGAGGACACAGGTTCCTTGTGATGCGCGTGGCTGTGGGCCAGCTGAGAGGCATGGGAAGTGAGGGGTTGGACAGGTTACAGGGATCTGGTGGGTGGAGTTTGATGTGCATCGATTCAGAGGTGAGCCTTGGATAGATTCTGGGAAGGGACTGCTGGGAAGGTTCTTTGCTTGGTAGTCTCATGTGTTCAGGAGCAGAAGGATTGCTGGGGGTGGGGGGTGGGAGTGGGAAACGGAAGCAAGAAGTTAGGGGGTAAAATACGTACAGGGTCTTGGCGGGGAGTGCTAAAGGGAAAGAATTGTCGGTCAGAAGGACGGAGGAGACGGCAGTTTACTGGGATCTGTCCCCACCTCTTTGTTCTCGCAGCCCAGGGCCTCGCTGCCGCCATGACTGAGGAGTCCGAGGAGACGGTCCTGTACATCGAGCACCGCTATGTCTGCTCCGAGTGCAACCAGCTGTATGGGTCCCTGGAGGAGGTGCTCGTGCACCAGAACTCCCATGTGCCCCAGCAGCACTTCGAGCTGGTGGGCGTGGCCGAGCCTGGAGTCACGGTGGCCACAGAGGCAGCTTCTGGCACGGGCCTCTACCAGACCCTGGTGCAGGAGAGCCAGTACCAGTGCCTGGAGTGCGGGCAGCTGCTCCTGTCCCCCAGCCAGCTCCTGGAGCACCAGGAGCTGCACCTGAAGATGATGGCTCCCCAGGAGGCGGTGGCGGCCGAGCCGCCAGCCAAGGCGCCCGCGCTCAGCTCCAGTACCATCCACTACGAGTGTGTGGACTGCAAGGCTCTCTTCGCCAGCCAGGAGCTCTGGCTGAGCCACCGGCAGACGCACCTCCGGGGCACTCCCGCCAAGCCTGCGGCCCCCGTGGTCCTGGGGTCCCCAGTGGTGCTGGGGCCCCCTGTGGGCCAGGCCCGTGTGGCTGTGGAGCACTCCTACCGCAAGGCAGAAGAGGGTGGGGAAGGGGCAGCTGTCCCTTCCGCCGCCGCCACCGCCACCACTGAGGTGGTCACCGAGGTGGAGCTGCTCCTCTACAAGTGCTCTGAGTGCTCTCAGCTCTTCCAGCTTCCGGCCGACTTCCTGGAGCACCAGGCCACCCACTTCCCTGCCCCGGTCCCCGAGTCGGAGGAGCCTGCCTTGCAGCAGGAGACCCTGACTCCGTCACCTGCGGAGGTGCCTGTGTCCCAGCCCGATCCCCTGCCGTCCTCTGACCACAGTTACGAGTTGCGCAACGGTGAAGCCGTTGGGCGTGATCGCCGGGGGCGCAAGGCCCGGAGGAACAACAGCGGAGAGCCGGGCGGGACGGCCACCCAGGAGCTCTTTTGCTCCGCGTGCGACCAGCTCTTTCTGTCACCTCACCAGCTACAGCAGCATCTGCGCAGTCACCGGGAGGGCGTCTTTAAGTGTCCTCTGTGCAGTCGTGTCTTCCCCAGCCCTTCCAGTCTAGACCAGCACCTCGGAGACCACAGCAGCGAGTCTCACTTCCTGTGCGTGGACTGCGGCCTGGCCTTTGGCACAGAGGCCCTGCTCCTCGCCCACCGGCGAGCCCACACCCCGAATCCTCTGCACTCGTGTCCGTGCGGAAAGACCTTTGTCAACCTCACCAAGTTCCTGTATCATCGGCGTACACACGGGGCGGGGGGTGTCCCCCTGCCCACCACACCGGTCCCCCCCGAGGAGCCGGTCATTGGGCTCCCCGAGCCAGCCCCAGCAGAGACTGGAGAGTCCGAGGCACCGGAGCCTCCTGTGGCCGAAGAGAGCTCAGCAGGGCCGGCTGCCTCGGGCACCTACCGCTGCCTGCTGTGCAGCCGCGAGTTCGGCAAGGCCTTGCAGCTGACGCGGCACCAGCGTTTCGTGCATCGGCTGGAGCGGCGCCATAAGTGCGGCATCTGTGGCAAGATGTTTAAGAAGAAGTCTCACGTGCGTAACCATCTGCGCACGCACACGGGCGAGCGGCCCTTCCCCTGCCCGGACTGTTCCAAGCCCTTCAACTCGCCCGCCAACCTGGCCCGCCACCGGCTCACGCACACGGGGGAGCGGCCCTACCGCTGCGGGGACTGCGGCAAGGCTTTCACGCAGAGCTCCACGCTGCGGCAGCACCGCCTGGTCCACGCGCAGCACTTCCCCTACCGCTGCCAGGAGTGCGGCGTGCGTTTTCACCGCCCCTACCGCCTGCTCATGCACCGCTACCACCACACGGGCGAGTACCCCTACAAGTGTCGCGAGTGCCCCCGCTCCTTCCTGCTGCGCCGGCTGCTGGAGGTGCACCAGCTTGTGGCCCATGCCGGCCGCCAGCCGCACCGCTGCCCATCCTGTGGGGCCGCCTTCCCTTCCTCGCTGCGGCTCCGCGAGCACCGCTGCGCCGCTGCTGCAGGCCAGGCCCCCCGGCGCTTCGAGTGCGGCACCTGCGGCAAGAAAGTGGGCTCGGCGGCCCGGCTGCAGGCGCATGAGGCGGCGCATGCGGCTGCTGGGCCGGGCGAGGTCCTGGCCAAGGAGCCCCCGGCCCCCCGGGCCCCCCGGGCCACTCGCGCGCCGGTTGCCCCCACCACCACCCTGGGGGGCGCGGCCCCCGCGGCCCCCGCAGCCCCTGCCCGACGCCGGGGCCTGGAGTGTAGCGAGTGTAAGAAGCTGTTCAGCACAGAGACCTCGCTGCAGGTGCACCGGCGCATCCACACGGGGGAGCGGCCATACCCGTGTCCGGACTGCGGCAAGGCCTTCCGACAGAGCACCCACCTGAAGGACCACCGGCGCCTGCACACAGGCGAGCGGCCCTTTGCCTGCGAAGTGTGTGGCAAGGCCTTTGCCATCTCCATGCGCTTGGCAGAGCATCGGCGCATTCACACGGGGGAGCGGCCCTACTCCTGCCCTGACTGTGGCAAGAGCTACCGCTCCTTCTCCAACCTCTGGAAGCACCGCAAGACCCACCAGCAGCAGCATCAGGCAGCTGTGCGGCAGCAGCTGGCCGAGGCCGAGGCCGCTGTCGGTCTGGCCGTCATGGAGACTGCAGTGGAGGCGCTGCCCCTGGTGGAGGCCATTGAGATCTATCCCCTGGCTGAGGCCGAGGGGGTCCAGATCAGTGGCTGACCCTGCTCCCCTTTCCCTCTTCAGCACCACCAGGCCCTGTTGCTGAAGAACGTCCTCCAATGTCCCCTTAAGTCTCTGTAGATATTGTGCTCCTTCCTCTACCTCTCCCAGCCGCCATGTAAGTTCTGTAACTGGATTTTTTCTCTCTTCCGAGGAGGGAGCTCTGGGGTCCTTGATATGCATAAGAGGCACCCCGCCCCCCCCCACCTTCTACCTGTTAGTGCTGGTGGCCCCAAGATGAAACAGTCAATAAAGACTGAATTGGACATTTATGTGTTTTTGTCTGGCCCAGCTGTGTGGGGTGGGATTTGGGAGCTGACTTTCTGGCTTTTTCAGCATCCAGAACAGGGCCTGCCAAGTAGTAGGAGCTCAGGAGACATTTACTTAATTAAAGAGGACTCAGAGTCCCAGGGCCTGGCTCAGAGAGCAGGGACTTCACCCTGGTGCGGGATGGGAAGCAGTGTGGCTGTCTTGCCACTAGAGGTCTCCACAGCCCCACAGAAAAACCTGAAGCTGTTTTCAATTGGTGGCAGGAACATTTGGAAAAATCTTCAGATTTTTTCTCACTACTTCTGGCCCCCACCGCTGGCCTGATGTGAACCATCTCCCTTAAGGCCATCTGGTTTTCTCACTATGGATCCCTGAAGGCAAATGCAGGTCTGGGAAAGGCGTGATCTCCAGGGCAGTAGAGGAGGGTGGCTCCTGGGACCAGACCCAACAGTGGCGTTGGAGAAGATTCTGGGGGTAGGCAGCCTCGTAAGATGAGAGCTACCTTGACGCCCACCTAGAATTCTGGCTTAGCCAACAGACGTGGGGAGAGGTGGTTGGAGTGGCTAGCTGGTGTTTGTCTAGTTTGTCTCAAGAACTTAGTTTTTGTTCTTTTTTTTAAAGATTTTATTTATTTAAGATTTTATTTATTCATGAGAGAGAGAGAGGCAGAGGGAGAAGCAGACTCCCAAGGAGCAGGGAGCCTGATGCGGGACTTGATCCCAGGACCCTGGGATCATGACCTGAGCCGAAGGCAGACGCTCAACCATCTGAGCCACCCAGGCGCCCAGAACTTAGGTTTTTATAACAATTGTCACACTCACCTATGAGAACATCTTGCAGGGAAGGAGTCTGAAGTCAAGCAGGGAGGTGATTTGCCCACGGTCATTCAACCCGCATAGGCTAGACCTTGAATTGAAGCCTAGTTTCATCTGGTTTAATCACCCGTATGTTTCCTCCGCAGTCTGCTGCCTTCTACGTATTTGGGGGAGGGCGGTCAAGAAGATGGTGACTGATGGGAACGCTCAGTTGCTATGCTTGTGTTGTCTCTAAGAGCCTCAGCCCAAGAAAAATAAGCCCCGCCAAGGTTACTCCATACTCCAATCTTCCTGTTGGAGAAAATTCATACTTGGACCCCTAATAAATGAGAGGTGAAGGGAAGCTATTTGTATTGAAACCAGGGAAAGGGAGGCCTGAGAGTCTGTTACTCTCGGGCCCTGTCACTAGACCTGTAGCATCTGGGCACCGGGCTTGGAGACACACTGGTTTCGCCTTATGTTCAGGTGAAAAATGGCTCGAAAGAGGGCAGACTTATCAAGGCCACAGGCGGTGGACCAGGACTAGAAACCAAGTCTCCTAACCTGTAATAGAAATTTTACTACATAAGACTTATTAAAGAAAAAGATCACCCGTTTGATAACCTGACCTAATGAAGAGCAATTCTCTGTTAAGCAGTTGCTTTCCAGCAGAGTGTGTGGATCATGAGCACCATCTTTCAGTGACCTCACACCCTGCCAAAAGGACTCAAGCCATCTTGGCCCTGCATGCCAGATCCCCTTCAATCCCCAGGTAGAGATTCATTCTCAAACTGCCTCCTCCCAAGAAGAGGAGCAACGTCCTGAAAGTCGTATCAAATAAGTGCTTAGAACAATTGAAGGAATTATCCTTGCCCAACCAGATAAAAATAAGGTTGAATCAAGAAAAGGGACAGGAATAGGGGAAGGGGGAACCCTGAGGGTGCTGGTTGACTCCCAGGTTCAGCAGAGAAGAATGGCTCTGTGACAGTGAGGTGATCACCCTTCCTCAACTGTGGTTCCTTTTTAGAGCCTCTACTGAAAACTTTAGACTCCCACCCTGAGAAAAGTTGACGTGTGCAAACACTATTGATGAACAAGACTCATTGTTCACCATCACCCCGCTGAAACTTGATGGTCCGCAGTTGAACCGCAGTCCTAAAAAAGGATGGCACGAATCAAACCCACGTTGGATGCTGGGGTTTAAGTCGGACAGACAAAGGCTCTTGAACTTTAATGTTCGTTAGGCAGTTCCCCCAGAGATTCAGATCCAGCAAATGTGTCTGGATGAGATCCAGGAATCTGCATTTTCCTTTTTTTTTTTTTAAGAGGGAGAGAAAGAATCCCAAGCAGGCTCCACACCCAGCACAGAGCCTGACTTGAGGTTCAATCCCACTACCCTGAGATCATGACCTGAGCAGAAACCAAGAGTTAGATGCTTAACTGACTGAGCCACCCAGGTGCCCCCAGGAATCTGCACCAATTCTGGGGCGCCTGGCTGGTTCAGTTAGTAGAGCGTGTGATTCTTGATCTTGGCGTTGTGAGTTCAAGCCCCATGTTGGGTGTAGAGATGACTTAAAAATAAAATCTTTAAAAATAAATAAAAATAAATAAATAAATAAGGGTGCTGAGTGACTCCACCGGTTAAGCATCCTACTGTATATTTGGAGTCAGGTCATGATCTCAGGGTCATGAAATTAAGCCCCGTGGCAGGCTTCAGGCTGGGTGTGGAACCTGCTTAAGATTCTCTCTCTGCCTCTCCCGCCCCCCGCCCCGGGATAAACAAACAAACACCAATTCTGATGCAGGTGACTTGCTGACCCCTCTAAAAAGAGCCTTGCTTATCCTATTTTTAGTTGGATATGGAAGCTACATAAGCAGAAGAAAAACCAAGGGAACACAACAGTGGTCCACTAGAGCCCAATATGCTCTTGACAAGAGGAGGCCCGAGTAAGGGCATGTGGAGCAGTTGGGCACATTCATGGGGCTGCAAGCGGATGCTCTCAGGTGTGCCATCTGTGCTTGTCACAGGATGGTCTGGGTGACAAGGAACTCAGGTCTGTATGGTTCTGACCGTACCACCGGAGGAGGCTGGACAAATGACCTTCCTCTATACCAACATCCCACTTTCCCATCCCTCCTGACTTGCCTTGAGAATTGGGGAGGTGCTTTTTTTCTTTCAATCTTGCCAAAACGATGCAGTGCTAATACTTCTTATCTAAGTGATCCAAACCCTCTTCCGTTCCTTTCCTGTCTCCTGTCTCCCCCATCCCTTCCTGTTGAATTTGCAGAATCCCAGCATCTGTGTGCCTAGCATACATCAGAGGGATGGAACAGTGACAAGGAGACACGATGCCAGTGAGAAAACCCAGTTGTCGACACCATTTCTGATTTTCAGTGGTGAGGTCTCGGGGATCAGCCCATGGCCTGGCCTCTAAGCCATTGTTCTTGCCAAATGACCTAGTCAAGCTGGGCACAAAAATTTGAGTGAGTGAGAGTTAATGTCACTCTGAAAAAGAGTGTACAACTTCAAAGTCAACTGTTTTTCAAGGGTCTTGTTAGTCCTCTGAGGATTGAAGTGGGGAAGACTCACTGGCTTCCTGGATTTCTCATAGTTCTCATTTATTGAAGACAGTGTTGCTAGAGATCTGTCCTAAGCACTTACCTCGTCATCTCATTTAATTCTTGCAACCCCATAGGGTTGGCATTGCCCATGTTACAGATGAGGACGTTGAAGATCAGATATCAAAAATCACACAAGCTATAAAATGGCAGAACTGAGATGTGAATTCAGGAATTGGAATTCATCCTAAATTCTGAGACCTGGTTCTGATGGGTGAAAACACGGCTCGGGCCTCACTTCTGAACATTTGCTCTGTGTGAACAGAAGCAAAGCCATCCCCCACCCCCCGTCGTCCGCAGCGCACACATGCCCACCATCCTTACCGGAACAGAGAGGAGACCACAGGAGAGCAGAAAGCATTTCTCTCTGTACATTTTTTACTTTTTTATTTTTTGATGTTGTTCAGATGAATGACACACTCAAGTTACAAAAACGGGGCCTTAAAAGAAGCACATTGTACAATGAACAAGCAGATTGGAGTTAAGAACACTGAAACGCTAACCCGCTACCACGAGGAGACAGGGAGGGGGTACAGGATGGGTCGGGGGGGGCTACCAACACAGGGGTCAGACAGAACTGAAAGTGGGGCTAACTTGCTGAGAACGGACAAAAGGCAGGTCTCCTCCAGGCCTATTCAATTTCCAGACACCACTTCATGGTCTCCCTTGCCCGCTCCTCGCCACCACCTCCCCTCCCCATTCCAACCTGGTCATCTGAATGAGTGGGTGGGAGACACCCACCCCAGAAAGGGCTGAGCCACTCAGATCTTTACAAGGTGGGTGGTCATCTTGCTCTAGTGCAGGCTTGGATTTGGGAGGGGACGGTGGCCGCAGTGGGATAGGAAGCCAGAAAGGAGCTAGCAGAGAGGAGTTGATCCGAGATCAGGTCCCTGCTTTTCCCCCAGACTCCTTGCCCCTTCCCCACCCTACCATGATCCAAAGACCCTCTCTACAAGTGCAGAGAGGCCCCCAGTCACCCTGCAATTATGTAAATAAATAAATACTGAGCCCCTGGGCTTGGAGGGCGGGCTGGGGGAGGGGCAGCAGGGGTAGAGGAGAGGAAGGGAAGAAGGGAGGGGTCACAGACATAGTAAATAGTTGTCTCCGTCCCAGCAACACTTCTCTCTAGATTTTTCTCTCCTTTTTGTGTTTGTTTAACAAGGAGCTAACATTTCAAGGACAAATACTTAAAAATATACATTATTTTTTTCTTCTTTTTCGCCTTTGTCATCGTCATCTTGCTTTGGAGACTGCTGAGGTCAAAGTTCAAACCGCACGAAGGAACTGCGGCTTGGAGTTTTTGTGTATTTTTTTTTAATTTTTATTTTTTAATTTTTTTCACTTTTTTTTCCAACGTATAAAAAGGTAGCGGGGTTGTCGGTGGGTTTTTTTTTTTTTTTTTTAAATGGTTAAATCTTTGGTTTGTTTCTTTTTTCTCTTGGAGGCCTTTATCTCTCGCACTTGCCTTTCCCACTCGGAGGCCAGTGGGGGCCCGCGTGTCTCAGTCTTGCTCAGTCGGTCTCACTCTCTCTCTCACTCAGTTCCCCCTACCCTGCGCTAAAAGGGAGAGAGAGGCACCCTGGGATTTGAGTGGGCAAGAAAATTAGTCAGGTCATCACCCACGTACCAGGCTAATCCCTTAGCCTGTCTGCCCAGGGTGCGGGGCTAGGAGACCCTCTCTTGGCCTTCTCCAGGGAGGAGATGTGCGGGGGAAACTCGTATCTTTCCCTCCCCTCCTGATCTTAGCCCCAACTCCTACAGGGCTTGGGTTCCCCATCTCCACCCACCCCCACTTATACCCCCAGCCCCTCCCTCCCACTTCCAGCCCCCACCCTCCCAGAAGAGAACAGAGAGCTGTTTTAGTTACTGGCATTTTTTTT